TCGCGTGCTTCGCGGGGCGGCCGCCGTGGCACCTGCCGTTGAGGACCCCGTTGTGCGGGTGTCCGTTGGCCACGCTGTGTCTGCGTCCGGACCACCAGCCTCTGAGTGTTCTGCGGGCGAGCGAGGCCCCGCGGGACAGCACGAAGTAGAGCGCGGCGGCGCCCAGCGCGAGCACCGAGGCCACGTCCAGCAGGAAGTACTGGCAGAAGGACAGCTGGTGCACGGCGGCCCGCAGGTGCCGCGCCCCCCGGTGCCGCAGCACGTACTCGATCCAGTACATGGTGCGGTTGACCGGGTGCCCGGGCTGGTCCCTGTGGATCTCGGACAGCTTCCGGGCGCTCTGGCGGTAGCTGTGGGCAGAGGGAGCACAGAGTGACGGGCAGACACGGGTGGCGTCGTGACCCCTCGTCAAGGGGGTGGCACCATGTTCTCCCATGGCCCACGCCCCGAGATGCACGATCACGGGGCTGTCCCACGGAAGTGGGGGCTGCACTGCTTAAAGCACACGCGTCAGCTCTCAGCCTGACACTCGGCTGTGAACCTGTCAACTCAAGACATCACGATTTTCTTAAAGAGAGAAAGATGCTGACGAGCCATCGATCGGAGGGGGTGAGCCTCAGGGTCTCTGTGACCCCAGTGCTGGGAGCCCAGTGCCGGGCAGCATGGGTCGGGTCTGGCTCGGGTTGCCGCCCCAATACCTGTCACCTGGGTGGACAGCTGAGGCTCCGAGTGTAGGTGCCTCGTCTCTGCAGTGTGAGTGGTGGGACCAGGGTCGCGCGGTTATGAGTGCCCCACCGAGAGGAGGGCACACCGCAGGGACCACGGTTGTCCCCACTGGTTTAGCAAATCCCAGTAGACTCTGAGCCAAGGTCAAACACGGCTGGACAAGTGATGGCTCTTTCACTGCCCGAATCACAGAGAGCTCGCACGAGGCGTCACGTGACGCCCTGGCCACCGACAGGCGGACAGTGGTGCTCGGCCCACACCCTCCGCCGGCTCTCGCAGTGACAGCTCACCTGGGGTCACCGATCACCTTCACCAGGGCTGCGTGCAGCGCGTCCTCCGTGACCACCTTCCACTCCAGCAGGATGCCCATGCCCTTGGCCTGCACCCGCGTCATCGTGTCATAGTGGTCCCCGAACAGCGGGAGGCCCACCACGGGCACGCCGTGGTACATGGCCTCGAAGATGCTGTTCAGGCCGCCGTGGCTCAGGAAGGCCCTGATGCGGGAGTGCCCTGGGCGGGACAGAGAGGGAGAGGGGGACAGCTCGCGGTGCTGCGCGTCGCAGGCGGGGCTTCCAGGCGGATCCTGGACGTCGATGCCCCAGTGAACGTACAGGGCTATCTCATCTGCACGCTCAGCTAAAAGCCACTGTGAAGCGGCTAAGATGTGAAGCTTTAAAGATTTAAGAAGCACGTCACAACTTTCTCTTAAGACACAAACACCAACTGACCTGCCACACCTATTAAACGGCCAGGGACTGACAGGGGGTCAGTGGAGGCAGGACACAACGACAGACGCAGGGGGAGACCACCGTCTGCTAAAGCTGGGGTCACGTCCTGGCTGCTCAAGCATTCGCCCTCACCCAGGTCAAACACTCCCTGTGAAAACGTGACAGCGTGGGGCTGCTGTCAGAAGTCCACGGGACAAGCCTGCTCGTCCCCGCAGGGACAATGGCCCATGCGCGGTGGCTGTAGCAGCCACGTCACGTCAGCACCAGCGTCTCACAGACCAGGGTCCAGAGACAAGCAGGGGCCGACGCCGGCAAGGACCAGTCGTGAGAGGCGGGACGACGTGGGACGTGTAGTTGTCGTGAGATACGGGAGGGACTGACCACAATTAAGGAGACGGTTCAGTGTCTCCTGCACAGCCCACACTCGGCGACAGGGGCACGGGCTGGGACAGCAGGATAAGGAAGCGCAGCCCTCGGCTGCACGGCCCGAGGGGAACCAGAGTTACAAAATGCAAATCCTTCGAGCTCAGTGCAGGTAAGAACCGGACTCTGGGGGCTCCCGTGGGTGGCCACACCTGCCACCCTCACCGCTCCACCTGAATCGGGCCCGCCGCTGCAGTGGGTCCCAGACCTCACCTTGCAGACCTCAGCACCAGGCCCAGCTTGACAGCAGGGACGGGGTGGGAGGGGTGGGAACCGGGCTGGGCTCCTCCTGCCTCCCAACCACAGCGCAAGGCCGAGGGGGGACCCACAAAGGCCGCATCCAGGCCTGTTGAGGATGGGACTCCAGGAGCCCTGGACCGGGGGCCTCGCGCGTGGGCTGAGCAGCCGCACCTGCTGGGAGCCACCGAGAGACCCCACGACAACTGTGCCCAGGCTCCCGGACCCTGTGACCAGCACCGCAGGACGCCGGGGCTCGGCCGTGCCCGCAGGACACAGGAGGGAAAGGGAGAACTACAAGTCTCCGGGAGGGAGGCCGCCTTTGCCCACCCCAAGCTGGAGGGACAGGAAGACCGTCCCCCCCGCTGGGCTTTCCCTCCCCGGATTTTAGTTACAAAACACAATTTGCGGAATCTTAGGAGTGACCCTTTGAGCTTCTGAAATATACTTTTTCAAAGTCTAATTTTAGGATCATAATTAAAATTTAAAGCCACTTTTACATAATTTGTAAGATTTTAGTATTATTGAACAAAAGAGGGTCAATACTGCCCAATCAATAAACATTTTTATGATTTTCTTAGTAAATAATATCTCGAAAGGTAATACGGCTTTATATTTCTCTAGGAATGCAATGAAGAAAACGATTTACATTTTTAATGTCTGTGCTCACTGAGCATAATTGCTTTACTTATACCCAAATACCTTAAAAACATGCACAAAATTGTTATTTTAATTTTGAGTTGAGCACTAGAATCCCAATAAATAAATAAATCGAAAGAAGTGAAGTGTTTCAAATGCCTGGTGATTTAGGGGCAAATTTAGGCAGGTGATCCAAGTAAAGTTACAATAACGTGACTCTCTGCTTGGGCTTCTGCTTCTCTGGTTTCAAACGAACAAAGGACTCGACATTCTTGGGTCCTCAGAGGTGTCTATAACAAAACTATAACACAAATCTACGCTTTCAGCATTTTAATTTACTATTTTCAGCTGATTAGCCTAATTAAGTATAGCTTTACTCACTGCTAATCTATATGATTGGTTAAGTATATTTCCTAGAAAATCAAAATTGGTGACCGGTCTAAAAATTTTCATTTATAGATCCAAATAATTATATTTGCAAAGTATTTCCCAGAAGACCAAGCTTTGACGCATTGTCTGACACTTCAGACTTGAGATATCGGGTGAGGGGAGGGTTCAACGGCTCGGAAACAGCACACGCACTGCACAGCCACGCGGGTGGGCGGTCACACCCACTCGGGCCACCCCAGGCAGACGTCACGCACACGCGGGCCACTCCGGGCCGCCAGCGCCCCCGCCCCGACTCACCAAGCAGGTCGTTCTGTGGCAACCACTCCATGAGCTTCGTGTTGTTCCCCAGATTCTTCGGTTTGGTCCCCGAAAACCTGAAATGCACAGCAAACGACTCCGGCAAACTGCAACCCACCCCTCGTGCAGACGCCCCGGCTGCGTGGTGGGCCCCACGCCGGGCGCTGCGGAGCCTGCTGTGGTCGCCGGCAGAGGGGACCCTGCCTCCCGGTCGGCGAGGCCCTGGTCAGAGGGGGACGCGGACACTGGGCCAGCACTGAGGCCCCGTCCTTCGGCTGCGTCGCATGCCACGGCGCGGACACACTGTGCATGCCCGTGCGCGGCCGATGCCAGCAGGACCCGGCGAGCCTGGGGGGCGCGGGGCCCCGGGAAGGGATGCGAGAAGCCAAGGTGCTTCCCACGCAGCCGCCGCAGGAGGCCATCACTAGGCCGGTCCTGCCCCGAAAGATAAACCTTAAAGGTCTATCGGACACGACCGTCCCCAGGGAAACGGAAGGCGCCCCGGGAGCCCGGCAGGGGCTTGGCGGGCCTGGCAAGTCCCGCAGGCCTGTCTGCAGGCGGTGCCCACGCCACACGCTGTGCCCGGCCCACGGGGACGCGGCCCACCCGCGGCTGCACCGATGTCAGGGCCGACAGGCTGGGTGTGACGCTGGACGCACTCGCCGGCCGCGCCTCTCCAGGGAGCTGGGCCCCCTGAGCTGGCCTTAACCAGCGCTCACTGGCGGGTTGTGGCCTTAAAGGCCACCTCTTGGGTGACAGAAAGTTGAAAGCGTTTAAGAGGAGACAGAGGATCCCCTGAAATGGCTGACTGCGCTGTCGTTCACGCGCACGCTCCTTCGCTGGCTCGGAGGGACACACGTGCAGCCACGCAGACGTTTAAATAAGTAGCAGCAGCTAAGCGAGGGGCCGGGGCGGAGGGATGCGGATACGCATCCGTGCAGGGTCCCCCCGTGTCCCCCCACTCTGCACTACAGGCCAGGTGCCTCTTCACCCGCCACAGCACATGAGTCTCAGCGCACTGAGAAACAGGGCGAGAATGGGGACCGTGGAGCCCGCCAGGGTCACTGTACCGCAGGCCGAGCCGGCGACCGTGGAAGCCGTGAGGAAGCGGCGTGTCTTCGCCTCACCTCCAAATCACCTTCTGGGGCAGCCTCCCCAGCGCCCCGGCCAGCTTGGTGGCGATGTCCTCGGACAGGTACTTGACTCCGGCTCCGAAGGACACCAGGACAAAGCCGTGTTCGTCGGCGTCGTCCACCCAGCTTTGCAGATCCTGTCAACCAACGTGCAGCAGTTAATTTTACGGGGACCAATGGGGTCCACAGGCAGCGGCGCCACCAGCCCCGGCTCCCAGGACCGGCGCCCCGATCCCACTGCGCACAGCACAGGTTTGAATGGGCCCCGGGTCGTCTGCTCAGAGTGGGCAGCAAAGGCGGGGACGCAGCACGGCCCTGCACACACTGCCCTCGTCCCCGGCGCCCCGTCTGCCACGCACCTGGAACAAGGAGGCTGGTCGAGTAACACCAGCAGGTGACTAGGAGCCCGCCCCACGATGGCCGACCTTCGGCCTAAACTTGCAAAACAGGCAACTTGTGGCAACGGAAAGGGGCTGGGGCTGGGGCTGGGGTCAGGCTGACAAGGGTGGCCCTCGGGCAGCATGAACAGACAGACCAGGGGCCAGGGGAAGGGCCCCCGAATCTGCTGAATGCAGCGAAGACTTCGAAACTGGAGCTTGGTGAGAAGGTCGCGCGGGTCCCCAGGGCCAGGAGGCGGGGGTGCGCGCACACAGGCCGTGTTTCCGGGAAAGGAAGACCCGCCGGTCATAAACTGCCAGCTGGCTTAGCAACTGTGCCCCCAAAACAACCTTCGTAACAGATGTGTTCGTGTAAAAACCCAAGTCTAGAAATTCAACACAAGACAAAAGAAGCTCGGGGTGGCCGGCCCGAGGCAAATGCCAGTCAGAACACTGAGCTGAAACCAAGTGGATCCCCACGAGCCCCACACGTAAGAGTGCGGTGAACCTGACGAAAGGCACGGGACGCCTGTGAGGAAGACGGGACACGGCGCGGAGGACGGGAGGAGAGCGGGGCGCGGGGAGGGCGCGGCGCGTGCACGGGGAACTGCGGTCTGGAGGCGCCGAGTTTCAGAAAATGAGGTCCGTGTGGGCCCGGAGCACGGCCACGGGGCTGGACGAGCTGGGGGACGTCGGCTCGAGAGCGAATGTGCAAGAAAGGCCAGAAAATGCCGAGAAGCGAGGACGGGGGGGCATGCCCTCGCAAGAACCGGGGCGCACGGCAGCCCTGGAGCCATCGTGACCGAGCCTCGGGTTTCAGGCACGCGCGAACGGGCGGACGGACAGACAGGCCCTGCTGAGCAACTCGTGAGGGAAGGAGGCTCCGGGGACACGGAAAACAGCCAGGCTGCGGCTGTCCACCGGCACCAGCAGGGGGACCGAGGGCCAGACCCCGTGCAGTGCGCCGGGGACCTGGCGGCCCGGAGGCAGCTGCTGTGCCTGGCTGGGGGCGCGGGACCCCGAGTGTGAAGCCGGACAGTATGACAGGCACGCGAGAGCCAGAGAACAGTGACGAGAACGGAAACGTCTGCAGGGTGCTCAGCAGAGAACTGGCACCAACGACAAAATAAGGAGAAAACCTGCAAACCTGAGACGACCCTCATTCCACGCGAGGGCCGCAAAGGGCTGAACGGGAGCACGCGCCCCGCCCCGGCCCTGGAGCCGCCGCGGCCACGTCCTCCGCCAGCCGTTCCCTCTGCGGCCTGCCGGGTCCCTGGTCCCGCATTCCCTCCGTCCACACAGTTGGTCCATTGTTAACTGCCGCCTGGTTACAATGCTCGAGCCACGTGTTCCTTGGCAGGACAAACTGTCTTTCCCAAACGGCCTCCGGGCGTCCGGTCCCACTCAGCGCACGCCTCGCTCTCCGGGGGCCTTTCAAACGCCCGGCGATCCCGCCAGTCATCCTACAGTTTGCTTCTCTCGTTTCTGACCTTTCGGCGTCCAGACTTCTACCTGGAAGACAGCGCGGCCTGCGGCCCGTCTTTGTCTCCAACCAACAGCCAGCGCCGCCCTTCCGGACGCCTCGCCCTCCTCGCCCGAGACACCAGCCCTTCCCGCGCTCTGTCCTGTCCCACCAGCCCAGCCATCGGCCCCGTCCAGCCCAGACCCCACTGTCACTGTAGGACACGCGTCAGGGCCTGCACTGCTGGGTCTCCCCACCCCGCTGGCTCCGGGGCTCTCGGGGTTCATGGGGTTCCTGTCCCCCGCCCCCGGGCCTCCTCGCACGGGCACAGCAGCAAGGCCAGAGCGAGGCGGGAGCCACCGCCGCCCCTGTGTGGGCTTCTCGGTAACGTTAGGTGACACTGGACACGACGGAACTAGGAACTGAAGGGCGGTGGGAAACACGCAGGCAGGTGTGGAAGCGCGATGGGGGCCACTCGGGAGCAGAACGCCGCCAGCACGGAGGCCCCCAGCAACGGACACCTCGCGGGACACGGGACACGGGAACGTGGGAGCAGCGTTTACGAGACCACCGGCCCGAGCCAGAGGGAGGACGCGTGGGTGAAGGTGGACGGCAGGCCCTGGCCCGGCCAGGCTTCCTTCTGACACGCCGGAACCTGGAGGGACCCCGCTCTGCAGCGTCAGCAGCACGTGTCCTGATGGCCGCCTGGGGCCCAGCCCAGTCTGCTCTCCCCACAGACGGCAGCCCTGAGGGCCACAGGAAGTGACCCCATGTCCTGCTCGGCCCATCGGTCTGAGGCGAGGACACCGGGCCGTGCACGCGCCCCACGTGAGGACGACAGGCTGGGCCCGGTCCCCACTCCTGTCCCAACACCAGCACCAGCGGGCCTCTTCCCCATTTCTGGGCGTCGGGTACGAAGCACGTGGGCTCTGCTCGGGGGGGTGGGATGTTCGCTCTGCGGCAATAGGTGACAGAGCAATGGGCGTCTTGGGGCAAAATGTTTAAAAACATCGTGGGCCACGGACCGTGCTCTGACCGCTGCTGAGACAGCTCGCCACACTTACGAAGCAGCTCGCCCCCAAGATGAAAACGCGACCATTCAAGATGAGCACGTACGGACCACTGCCCTCAGCGACGCGGCTGGCAAAGGACGCGGGCCGGGGACGCCGCCAACGCCGCGGTTTGCCGAGTGCCCTCCCTCCGGTCGCCCTGGTGCCCAGCTCTCTCTTCCCCAAACACGGTCACCGGGAAGACTCAGCGAGGCCAAGTGTAGACACGTGCCTTGTCACATGCGAGTCACTCTGCTGTCTTCCCGGGGGGCTGTGTGACAAGCAGCCCCCAGACTGCGGACGAGATGGTGGCTACTCCAAGGCCAGGGAACAAAGCTGCTCCAACCAAGGTGTGCCCTGGGTCGCAGCAGGCTGTCACCTCCACAGGCAAAGCTGGTGGAAGCACATGCACGACCGAGAGGCAGGACAAGGACACGTTCGCAGGCCGCGTCACGCAAACCCAGCTGCACTCTCAGACTGTTCAAGCGATTGCCAAGGTTATCCAGAGGGGTCGAGCCACAAGGGACCTGGAGAAGTGACAGTGGCCCAAGGCAGGGGTGGCTCTGTGAGGACTCGGCAGACGTGGCACCAGCGCCTGAACCTGTCGGGGGCGGAGCGAGGCCCAGGCACTGGCGAGAGTGTGGCCACTGCCACTGGGATTCTGGGGGACCCTCTCCCCCGCCACGCCACCGGGATTCTGGGGGACCCTCTCCCCCGCCACGCCGTTAGCTCTTGCTGCAGCTGTCAAAATCACAAGAGGGAAGCAGCATCCCAGACGCTGCTTGGAGGCCAGGTCGGTTTTCAAGGTTCTCAAGACCTTCAGACCCAGATGTCCCAGGATGTCCCCGGATGTGGCCGCAGCAGGGTACCGAAGACAGCAGCACGCAAAGTGACCGCTGGGCACAGACGATGAAAATCTCACCGGAAAGGAAAAGCCCGCCGCAGAAGGACACCTGCTGCTGCTTATGTTACGGAGCTCCCGGGGCGGGGGCGGGGGCGGGGCGGTGAGGAGAAGGAAGGGGACGCACCCGTGGGTGTCTCTGTACAGTCCAGGCCCCAGGACCCTGGTTCCTGAACCACCGGCTGGCGGCCAGCGGCTCGGTCACGCCGGGGAAAGGCCCAATGACAGCGTGCCACGTCGAGTCCCAGTCGGGGGCTTCACGGCCCGCTCACTGCCCCACGAGCACTGCCAGCCACTGCTCTCCACGCCCCTCGCCAGCTCTTGTCCACGTGGACAGGACAGCCCCCTTCCTGCCCCTCACCCGCGCCCCACACCCCGACACGGCTCCCTGCACCCTGCCGCCTGCTCCTGCCCACCACGCCCACCACGCCCGAGCCAGGCACACTGTGCCTCTCACAGGACACGCGCCACGTCGCCCGTCGTGTGCATGACGCAGGGCCCTCCCCCCTCCTGGCCTCACGACGTGTTTCCTTCAATAAGTCGAGGAGGCCAAGAGCCACCTGCACCCTTACGACAAAGGCGTTAACTGCAGATAGTCGTGGGCACTTTAGCGGTGCCCATGGCCAGGAGGAAGCAGCGGAGTGGCCGCTGGCCTGGTTTGCAATCTTGAAACGGTGTTAAAGTTCACGGAAAATTGAGAGAACACCTGAGACTCAGGTCAGAAGACAGGAACGTGGCTGAAGAGAAAGGCTCGGGCGACACCTTCGAGAAGCGGATGCGAAGCCCTCTCCGAGGCGCACGGTGCTCTTCGTCTGTGCCTCGCTGTACTACGTGGGTCCAAAAGGAATCTGGCGTGACAGTCACCCAGAGTGACGGGAAACAGGAAAAACGGACAGGCGACGACGCTCCACAAACCACAGAAAGGAGGCGCCTGCTGGCGACGGGCCCGGCACCTCCGCCAGCTGAGCACCTGGTCCCCGGCGGGCGGGCAGAGGGCGGGGCGAAGACACGGGCGCTTCCGGGCCTTCGGACAGGCGGGTGTCAGCGGGCAGAGTCTGTGACGTCACGGGCAGGACTTGGCAGCGTGAAGAGGAGCCTCGGGCAGAGGGAGGGGTGCTCGGAGGAAGAGGCAGCAGGAGAGATGCTGCAGGGGAAGGGACACGAGAGGTGACACGGCCAGTTAAAGAGCGGGTGCCAGGCCCAAGAGCTGGAAAAGGGGACCCAAGCTCATCACGAGGTCATCCTGGGCTCCTGTCACCTGACGGTTGACCCCAACAAACTAAAGACCAGCAACCAAACGTCACCATCAACGCCAAGGACGCTTTTAACAGAGCCAGGCTGGCCACTG